TTTACATGCAAATTCTATCAAACATTTAAAGAACAATTAATTCCAATACTATATAGACTATTTGGGAAAATAGGTGAAGAAGGAGTCTTACCAAATTCTTTTTATGATACAAATATGGTGCTGATACCTAAACCAGGAAGAGTCAAAACAGAGAAAGAAAATTATAGACCAATTTCTCTAATGAATATAGATGCAAAAATTTTAAACAAAATATTAGCACATAGATCACAGCAACTTATCACAGGAATATACACTATGACCAGGTAGGATTTATACCAGGAATGCAGGGTTGGTTCAATATTAGGAAAACTATCAGCATAATTGAGCATATCAACACCAAAACCAACAGAAACCACATGATCATCTCAATAGATGCAGAAAAAGCTTTTGACAAAATACAACACTCATTCCTATTAAAAACACTAGAAGGCATAGGTATAAATGAAGTCTTCCTTAAAATAATAAATAGCATCTATCTAAAACCATCAGCAAGCATTATATGTAATGGAGACAAGCTAGAAGCATTTCCAGTAAGATCAGGGGTGAAACAAGGATGTCCATTATCACCACTGTTATTCAATATTGTACTGGAAACATTAGCTTTAGCAATAAGAGAAGAAAAAGAAATTGAAGGCATTAGAATAGGCAAAGAAGAAACAAAGCTATCACTCTTTGCAGATGACATGATGATATACTTAGAGAATCAAGTAAAAAACTACTTGAAATAATAAACAACTTTAGCAAAGTTGCAGGCTATAAAATAAACCCACATAAATCATCGACATTTATATATATTACCAACAAAGCCCAACAGCAAGAGATAGAAAGAGAAATCCCATTTAAACTTACTGTAGACATTATCAAATATTTAGGGGTCTACCTCCTGAAACAAACCCGGGAACTCTATGAACACAATTACAAAACACTTTTCCCACAAATAAAATCAGATGTAAGTAATTGGAGAAATATCAGCTGCTCATGGGTAGGATGAGCTAATATAATAAAAATGACAATCCTACCTAAGCTAATTTACTTATTCAATGCCATACCAAACTACCAAAAATTGCTTTATAGAGTTAGAAAAAGTAATAAGACTCATTTGGAAGAACAAAATGTCTAGAATATCAAAGGAACTAATGAAAAGAAATGCAGGGGAAGGTGGCCTAGCAATTTCAGATCTTAAATTGTATTATAAAGCAGCAATCATCAAAACTGCTTGGTACTGGCTAAGAAATAGAGTGGTGGATCAGTGGAATACGTTAAATATGCAAGGCACATTAGTCAATGACTATAGTAATCCATTATTTGATAATCCCCCAAACCCCAGCTTCTGGGAAAAGAACCAACTCTTTGAAAAAAACTGCTGGGAAAACTGGAAAAGAGTATGGCAGAAACTAGGCATAGACCCAAATCTCATACCATATACCAAAATAAAGTCAAAATGGGTTCATTATTTAGATATAAAGGCTGATACTATAAGCAAACTAGGAGAACAAAGTATAGTTCACCTATCAGATCTATGGAGAACAGAAGAATTCATGACCAAACAGGAGATAGAGAACATTACAAAAAGCAAAATAGATAATTTTGATTACACTAAACTGAAAAGTTTTTGCACAAACAAAGCCAATGCAACTAAAATTAGAAGGAAGGTGGAAAATTGGGAAAGATTTTTTACAACCAGTCTGTCTGATAAGGGCCTCATTTCTAAAACGTATAGAGAATTAAGACAAATTTGTAAGAACACAAGCCATTCCCCAATTGATAAGTGGTCAAAGGATATGAACAGAGAGTTCTCAGATGAAGAAATTAAAGCCATCTATAGTCATATGAAAAAATGTTCTAAATCATTATTGATTAGAGAAATTCAAATCAAAACAACTTTGAGGTACCATATTACACCTATCAGATTGGCCAACATCACAAAACAGGAAAACGATAAATGCTGGAGAAGATGTGGGAAAAATTGGAACACTAATGCATTGTTGATGGAGTTGTGAACTGATCCAACCGTTTTGGAGAACAATTTGGAACTATGCCCAAAGGGCTACAAAAATGTGCATACCCTTTGATCCAGCAATAGCACTTCTAGAGCTATATCCGAAAGGGATCACACAAATGGGAAAAGGACCCACATGTACAAAAATATTCATAGCAGCTCTTTTTGTGGTGGCAAAGAATTGGAAATTGAGAGGATGCCCTTCAATTGGGGAATGGCTGAGCAAGTTGTGATATATGAATGTAATGGAATACTATTGTGCTATAAGAAATGATGAACAGGCTGACTTCAGAAAATCCTGGAAAGACTTGTATGGTCTGATGCTGAGTGGAGTGAGCAGAACCAAGAGAATGTTGTACACAATAACAACCACATTGTGTGATGACTAATATTGATAAATTTAACCCTTCTCAGCAATACAAGTATCTAAGACATCCCCAGAGGCCTCGTGATGGAAAATGCTATCCACATCCAAAGAAAGAACTATGTAAGTTGAATAGCTATCATTTTTTTTCTCTTCTGTTGAGTTTTGTTTCCTCTTTCTAATGGTTCCTCCTATTGGTTTTAATTTTTACTTACAACTTCACTAACATGAAAATACATTTAATAGGAATGTAAATGTATAGCCTTTATAAGATTGTGCACCATCTTGGGGAGGGTGGTAGGGAGGAAGGGGGAGAAAAATTTTAAACTCAAAAGCATATGGAAGTGATTGTTGATAAATCAAAATAAATTAATAAAATTTAAAAAAGAGTAAAAAATAAAATAAAATAAAATAAAAGTGTTGTTTAATTTCTCAAATGTATTCCAAGATGATCTCTTCCTTCTATTCAAGTCTAGACTCAGATCTTCATTGAACTGAAGTGCCTGTTCTGGATGTCTTAATCCTAGTTGGAACAGAGGTGACACCTTCGTGTGAAAAGTGCTTTATGAACATGGTATCCTTCAAACCTCACAACAGTCCTGGGATTTTGGTAGTACTCTCTTTTTTTCCCCAACCTCTTAAAAGGTTCTTATCAATTCAGCATAATCTGTGTAAATAATCTGACCATAAAATCAAATGTCTTCTTTCCCTTTAGTATTAGAGGTGAGAGAAAAACAGAGTACAAATCATTAAATAATAAAATTCTGTTAAGGAACTTCCAGTATTTCACTATTTAAAAAAAGGATAATTGTTTACAAACATGTTTCCCATTCCCCCCCACCCCAGCTCCTATGTTATTTTAAATTCTGTGGACCATCAATCCTGATTTCTAAAACAGTTGGCTTATTCAATAATGCAACAGATTGCTATAAACTCAGAGATTCTAAGAAAGTGATATTCACATTGTCATTCCAATAAGGTGATTTGAAACAATCACTATTGTGAAAAACCACATTCTTCAAAGTCTCTTCCTTATTGTTCAGCTGGGAGTACTTCACTACAAAAGTAGGTTGAAACATTTACAAAAGCCTCCCCTGGCCAGTGTGTTCAGTGTGTCCTTGGCTGGTGTAACCCTGACCACAAAACATGTCCCAGAGTCAGACAGCAACGCCTCCACGCACCACCCTGGGAATGTTCCCTCACCTCTAGCGCAGCACCCTGACCTCTTAATTCTTGGTACTACTCTCTTATCAGCACTGTTATATGCTTGAAGAATGTAAGTCTCAAAGAGATTAAATAACCTTATGATCAAATAACTCAAACGTGCAAGAAATTAGATTCAAACCCATGTCTTTTCCAACTTCAAGATTAACACCCTTCATAGCATGTAACTTTTAGAATTCTGTTATGCGATGATGGGGTACTTCAATGGGCAGTTTTAGCCAGCTGCAAACTGTACTTCAGACAATAGGTATTCTTTCCCTTATTGATTTTTACAGAGTGGAAAGTTGGAACACTAATGCATTTTTGGTGGGGTTGTGAGCTAATCCAACCATTCTGGATAGTGATTTGGAACTATGCCCAAAGGGCTATAAAACTGTGCATACTTCTTGATCTGGCAATAGCACTTCTAGAGCTGTGTCTCAAAGAGATCATAAAAAAGGGAAAAATACCCACATTTACAGAAATATTTATAACAGGTTTTTGTAGTGGCAAAGAACTGAAAATTGAGGGGATGTCCATCAATTGGGGAATGGCTGAACAAGTTGTGCTTTATGAATGTAATGGGATACTATTGTGTTATAAGAAATTATGAGCAAGAGGATTCCAGAAAAAAAAAACCTGAATAGAGTTACATGAACTGATGCACAGTGAGCAGAACCAGGAGAACACTGTACACAGTAACAGCAACATTAGATAGACTTAGCTCTTGTTAGTAATACAATGACCAAAGACAACTCCAAAAGACTTATAATTGAAAATGTTATCCACATCTAGAAAAAGTAATTTTCATCTGTAAAATGTGAATGCTAGACTATTTTTTGTCATCAGTACAGTTTTATCTAAAAAATATGTTAGGTTGGTAGTGTTTATTGTATTTCTTACCAGGTTTTCTTTAGGCTGATTTTCCTCAGAACCACTTTTCAGTTTTATGATTTGGTAGTATTCATGACTTTCTATCTTCTGGATCAATTTCAGTTCTAGATCTATGATCCTATATTCTTTGTGGTGATCTGTTTGGCTTTGGCCATCATGAGTATATTGAGGTGAGATGTACCAGTGTCCCATGGAATGATGTTTTTCTGGCCTTATATATATGATTAAATCAACTGCACCAACTCCATTATTTGGTACTCTGAGAAGTATTTATCTACCTTTTTATTTAACTGCAACTTCCTTGCATCTTCCAGTTTCATTTAATAAAAGAATGTCAGTACTGATGTGATTCATGTCTTTCAGTAGTTTATCTGCTTATTGTCTGTTGGAGGACCTCCAGTTAAAAACTGCAATAATAGCACCTTGTGGCATCTGGTCCATCACTTCATCATAATTCTTCTGGAAGCAGGACAAAGGATAGGAGGATAAAGGACAATTCCTATGTCTTTATTTTTTAGATGACTTACGATGGAAGAAGAATACATAAACTCTCTGGCTTCCTTCTGGTAGTGATACTCTCTGAACTTAAACTGGTCCTTAGACAGAAGATGCAGTCTATAACTGGGTGTGTACTTGAATGTTGTTTTTGTGAAGTACATTATGGCTATTCTTACCTTTATCACACCTTTGCATATTTGTATTTGTATCATATTCTGCCTATTATAAGCTCAATGAGGGTAGCAGTTAGGTCTTATTTATACTCATTTATACTCATGCTGACTACTTTGCATATAACAAGTAAAAAAAATAATCATTATTAAATGAGTGTGTGGATCAATAATGACCATCAATAAAGCTAGTGTTGATTTTTTTTTGTTAATCCTGAAATGTGTTAAACCGATGTTCATATGCTGTCACTCATATTACTTCTCTGTAGTAAACATTTCTGGTGTTTCTCAGAAATGACAAAAAGGGAGGGATGCTGTTATTCCATATTATTTGATGCTAGTATATTTTTCTTTGATAAAGCCATGAAAATTGTGGTAAAATTATTTTAGATGTGCAATCTTTTGTCAAATGTCAAATTTTAGCTACCATGATTAAACAAAGCAAGTAGTTGCTCAGATGTACACATGTATTTCCCTTTCTGCCTTTTGTGATGAAATTCCTTTGAATATCAGTGGAAAATCCATGCCTCATTTAATTCAATGGCCATATTGAAAGAGACAAAACTTTGGCAGTAGGGTCATCATTTTGAGGAGAGAAAGTCCTTTATCTTTATAGGCTGTCATGATTCTGGGGTATTAAAATTGTTCCTAATTTAGGTTTGATTTTTTAAAAAATGAGTGTAAGTAGTTTTTATTCTCATTTATTAAAAATGAAGGTACTTTTTCACAATTTACAGTTACCCAAGGTTTAGTCAGCATTTCTCCAAATCTCTGTATGTAAAGATGTAAAATACAGGGTGATCAATTTGAATTGTTCACATGGGTACTTAAAACCCGCAGAAATGAAAAAAAAATCACCAGTTTTCAGTTGATTGTCTAATTCATTATGAAATATACTACCCTCTGCTTTAATATAAAAATCAGACTATATTATAACTTTATATAATTTGGAATTACTAAAGATTGAAAGTTGCATTGCAACCTAGGGAAATCAACAAGAAAGGAAGGAAGGAAGGAGAAAAGGAAGGAAGGAAGGAAGAAAGGAAAGAGGAAAGTGAGAAAACAGAAAAAAGCAAAGAAGGAATAGAGAAACATAGAAAAAGAAAAATTCAAGAGGAAAGAAAAAAGAAAGAGGGAGAGAAAGAAAGAGAAGACTAAAGGAACTGATTGTAAGGTAGAAATCAGTAATTCTGCTTTGAGGTAATACTGAATCTAATTCTAATTTCAACTCTTACATCATGGGGGTCAACAATGCAGGAAATCATTTAGTCTCCACTCTTGAAAACAAAAGAAACACAATAAAACCAGTTTTGAGTAGCTAATAAAAATATTCAGCTGTTTATGTAATAGGACTTCTCTGTCCCAGATTGATGCATTTATTTTTTTCCTCTCAGTCTAAGTTTTACAGTAGTTATTTTGCCATCCTCTGTTTGTCAATTAGTCTAATTTATTCCTTTTATTTCTAAAAAAGAACAAGATACAACTGCCCCAAAGAACATCTACTGTTCTATCCTGTAAATTGTGACAAGACTCAATGGGCTAATACTTTCCAAATGATGCATCAAAATGGTATGTAGTAAATGCTCAGCTGTGAGAAGAAGAGTATCTCATGCCAAAGGGTTGCATATTAAAAGATTGGAGGCCAAGGGAGGGGGATCATACGTGTGAGAGAAAAGATCTCTCTTCAGTCATCATTCCCAGTCAAAGCATTTTCATGGGAGTTGTACCTGCAGACACAGCAGAATCTTGGCTTCCTGCAAATAGTGAGCTATGCATTTGTAATTGTACTTGTTTTGCAATTGCCTTGCAAGTACCACTTCTCACAAGACCCCCCTCCCAGTCAGATATTACAGCCCTGTTTAAAAAAGAAGCCATCTCTTTAATGGGGAAAAAAGTCACCTGGTTATGAGGGACATCTTGTCAGTGCCTTTCCCATCTGAGTTTATGCAGGTCTAAGAAGGCTTTGATTCCTGTTGAAATTGCCCATTGTTAATTCCAAGAGGTGAAGGAGTGGGATGGGGACTTCACAGACAACAAGGCAGCTTTATCTCTGCAGTAAAAATAATTACTGTAAGAAATTAAGGTGCAAAAACATGCCTGCTGTAATTGTTGCATACTTATTAGAAGCTTTCCTGTCCCAGACTCTCCTGGTATTTGTTGCCCATGATAATGTGAATGCTTAAGGGAAAAGTGTAATTAGGGACTGTGTAGTTCATTCAGTAAACATTTCTTGGTTGTTTGATGTTACTGAGCTGAGAGTCACATATGATTTTCCACTTTTATCCTACCAGGCAACTGACAGGTCTCTAATCTCTGTTTCTGAGCTTTCACTGCTTGAACTTTGGCTCATAAAGGTCATTTCTAACCCACTTGGGGCTGGAAGCCACATCCATGAAATCCCATAGAGTCGATAGATGCGATAATAGCTTTAGGCACATTTTCTTAGCACCCGAGGGAAAGGCAATTTCAATAAATGTAAAACTATGCCATCTCCAATCCACACAACATATAAAGTAATCTCTTGGGAATAAATCTTCTCTTTTCCTTCAGGCAAAAATCTCCTTAATAATAGCATACATTTGTTTATTTTCAATGTGAGATACTTTTAAAGGCATGAGGGTGCTAACCATCCCCCACTTTTCCCACTGTACTCCCCCTTTCTCTACCTCACCCCCTAAAAAAGCCAAAAACCAATGTCATTTTTTCCTAATACATTAAGAGCTTTTACTTCAGACATGAGGGGTGGAGAAGACATTCATATCATGGATACCTATTTCTAGCTTAACATCTGTCTTGAAAATATGTCTTAAATAACCAGTTGTTAAGTTTTTATGTAGCATTGTGAAAATGAATTGCTAATAATTGAAAAGTAAAATTATGTATGTCTTTTTAATGTCAAAATGGTGGAATTGTTTGTTTTGTTTTGTTTTACCTCAGTCCCTAGCTTATCCAAAAATCTCACAGGTTATATATATCAGGATAATTAACAGAAGGCTCCCCTGCAGCAGATGTCTGAGATAAGTAGTAAAGGGCATTCTCTTCCCTTGACATGCCATCAAAGGGAAAACAACAAATATTTAAATGAAGAAAAATCAAAACTGTGCATGCAGAATTATGTGATCAGGAACCAATTTTTTAAAAAATAATTATTTATATAGTAGAATGTCAGAAGTCTCAAACACTGATGTTAAAATAAAACTTTTTTGCATTTTATCACATTTTCTGCATTGCCTTTGATTTCTTCCTCCTTTCCTTTATATTTTTTCAAGGCAAAGGAATACTTCTTGAAAGGAAAGTATCCCCTCCAGCAAAATATTTTACTCAATTTGCCTTGGAGAATTCTACTAGAGGGGGTGGAAATCAGAGGCATTGGAACAACTTCAAATTCAATAGCCTCCGAGGTTTTCTTGAAAAGATCTTTCTAAATATACCAAGTCAATAGGTCAATGATCAATAGGAATGTAAGTGGTAGCTCGAATTGTAATTTAAAAAAATTGTACTAAAAACACAAAACATTATCTGAATATTTTAAATGTCCTTGTTTTCCCTTTCTTTTAGATGCATCTTTAGCTGAAGCAGAATGAAAACAGCTTGGAAAGCAGAATTATCCAAGTCAGGCTACCCTTTGAAATAGGTCACACTATGGAGGGTTTTCATGATTAACTATAAAATGTCTCCCTAACATAGATAGTACCAACACAGAAGTGCTCCTCAAGGTAGGGTGGAGACTTTAATTGGCCACTGACAAAAGAGGAGGTCCCTGAGCAAACAGTGCTCATTTGACTCTGTAAAAGTCATAAGACATTACATGTATGCAGAAGCATCTGTTAGACAGCAAAAGGTCAATGAAGAAACATTTTGAAATGGAAAGTGTGTCAGCTACTCTGGCAAGAGCACCAAGCTCAGTGGGTTGGCAAAGACTGCTGATGCTTCACCAGCCCCTTGTCTCTTATTTTCAGCATTTGGAAAAAAGTTCACTTCATGTTTTTGGAGTTACTTGTAGAGTTGGAATTAGGCCAATGGGCGGAGGCTCAATCCTGATACTTCATTCTCAGGGAAAGAGCCTCAGTCACTTTGTCATTTGTGGTCATAGACTCACAGATCCAGAGCTGGAAGGGACTTCAGAGGCACCTTGTCCAACCACCTAGTCCAATTTTAGAGATGAGGCTCCGGGAGGTAGGTTAATCAGATATCGATTGTTGGAAGAGATATTTAAATTGAGTTCCTCTGCTAGGCAAAGTGGAGTATGGAAAGAATGTTGAACTTGGAATAATAAAGACTTGGATTCAAATTATGCTTTGTAGCCATGTGGCCCTAGGCAAGTCACTTACCATCTCTGAGCCTCTTTTTCCTAAACTACACATGGAGGGGTTTGGACTAAATAAACTGTCTGTAAGGTCTCTTCCAATTTCAAATCTATGTTCCATGCTATTATAATTCCAGAGTTATTTTCCTGCCTTGCCACACTGGGTCATGGCGACATAAGATGAAAATAAGTGGGTATAAGGAACATCATAAAGAACAAGCTCGGACCAAAGGAATGAGCAACATGGAATTCATTAGCAGAATCAGAGGGACAGGGCAGGCAGGAAATTTTTTTTAGTTTGGAGGACATGGCTTCATTTCTTATAAAAGAGGTTTGGAAATAAATGAGGTTCATATATTTGAGGTTTTCCTAGGTACTCCCTTTTGGTGAAGATTGGCTCCATTCTGTCCAATGTGACTATTGCTGGGTCCTGGGAAAAAACGGTATTAGTTGACAGATCTTTCCAATGTGCTGCCACTGATTTTGAGACAGTTGCTTCAGGAGTATTCTTGCCAGATCCTTGCTCAAATATAGAATTTAAAAATCCACCAATCCAGTTGTGGCTCATGCATGCCAACCCCTCCAACCTTCTCCCCACCCCCATACACTTTCTTTCCTCCACTTTTTTGCAAGTTCTCCATTCTGGGCACTTCTGTCTATAAACACTGCTGTTCCCTAATCAGACATATGGATGATCATGAAGTGAGTGACTTATTAGTTGACTTGGCCATTTTAACACTAGATTTAGGAATTATAAAGGAGAAAAAAAATGGCTTAGTTACTTTCAGGCTGTGACTTGGTCAAAAGACCTAAGGAATGAAGAAAAAAATTCCAAAGGCAAAAATAAAATATTTTAAAAGAAGATCACTAATTGTGGTCCTCTTCTACCCAAATGACCTGTCTAGACAATGTGAACACACAACTTATTTTCATGAATCTTAGACATTTTGATTCCAATGTGTCTTGAAATAGTGTATAACGTATTGTGAAATTTACAAAATTGATTAGCATTATACTATTCTATACTCTCATCTGCAACAGAGAAATTCTTTGAAGAATTTGACAGATCTGTCAAATGCTCATGACTTGATATTTGATGACTTTAACATAAAGTCATCAGTAGTGGCTAAGTGGAGCAGTAGATAGGACACTGGGCCTGGAGTCAAAGAAACTTGAGTTCGAACTCCGACTCAGACACCTACTAGTTGTGTGACCTGTGGTAAGTCACTTAAGTGCTGTCTGCCTCAGTTTCTTTACCTGTAAAATGGTGACAGTAACCTCCTTTCAGACATTATTGTGAGGATCAAATCAGACATTTGTAAATTGCTTAGTACAATGACTGGCACATAGAAGCCACTTAAAAAATGCTAAAGGATAAAGAGGTGGTAGTGAAAGCTAGATTGGAAGATAAAGGTTAGGGTTACAAAATAAAAGAGGACAAGGGCCTTTAGAGGATTTTGAAACATCAAGTATTTAAATAACAAATGTTTCCTAAAATGAAAGAGTCAGAAGATGCTAGGCATGGTAAGTAGTGAACAACATCACAAAATTGGAAATTCAGTGGGTGGGAAATGACTAGCTATCATTGTTTTTCAGTTGTTTCAGTCATTTTAGTAGCATCCAATTCTTTGTGATTCCATTTGAAGTTTTCTTGGCAAAGATAGTACAGTGGTTTGCCATTTCCTTCTCCAGCTCATTTTACAGATGAGAAAGTTGAGGCAAACAGGTGAGACCAGATTTGAACTCAGGGAGATGAGTCCTTCTGACCTCAGGCCTGGTATTCTATCCACTGCAGCTATAGTTAGTAATGTAGTAATTATTTCAGAATCAGCTGTGTGTAATCAGAGCAGTGATTGGTCACTGCAGTGATAAAACTAAGAATGCCAGATTGGGGCCAAATCATTTTGGGATAACTGAGGAAGTTGCTGGACATGAATATAAAGGCATATTAATGTGCTCTAAAATGCTTGAATATGAAAAATTCAGAGAAGTATAGGAAGACTTATAGAACATGACATGGTAGGAAATCAGCAAAATCAGGAAAGTAATATGTGCGATGAATACAAGGTAAATCAAAGGACCAATCTAATTAATCTGAGCAAGATTGTCTCCAACCTGGTTTAGCCCATCTATTGAGACATTGACTGTAGTGGGGACATTATGCTAAAGCTTCTTGGAACCACAGGTGGGAGGTGAAAGTTGCATGTCAGGTGGACACCAGAAATGGATAAAAGGGGCTTGGCAAGCCCTCACACAAGAGGTGCTGGTCCTCTGTGAACACCCATTTCATAACAAGGATGAAGATGATAGTGTTGATGATGCTGATGATAGCTGAGATGTTTAATAGAACTTTAAGGTTTGCAAAGTGCTTTAGATATATTATTTCATTGGAAGATAATGAGGTCAAGAAGAGTGAATGAACTATATAAAATGTAGGCAAAAGAAATTTTTCCTTGAGGAAATATAATTTAATGACTTAAAACTTAGGAGTTTATTTTCAATGTATTACAAGAGAAGAAGATTCCAAAAATATGGGAAAGATTGCAGATGACACATTATTTTAAAAGTGACCTAAAATGCAGCAGGGCTGTGGATGTTTTCTGATGATGTTATCATGTTGCTTCTACTGGGCCTTCTCTCTGATGTTCCTATGTAGTACGTTATCTCTACCAGTCATGCAGTCATGACATGTATTTTCACATTTATGTGAACGATAGTAACATTAAATGAGCACTAATCAAAGATCTAATTATCTCTCCTATGAATAACATGCATGGTAATTTTATTCTGCTTCGTTTAATTTCTCAGTGTTCTTTAATTTTTTTTTCTCTAGCCTTCTTGTTCTTCACTATATTCCATATGGGCATTGGATAGTATCTGGAGAACTGAGGTCATAAAATCAAAATTTGGAGGTTGAAAAATCCTCAGGGATCCCCGAAATCTCTTATTTTACAGATGAGAAAACTAAATTCAGACTTGTCAAGATCATATAAATAGCAAGTGACAGAAGCAATAATAAAACCCATGTCCTCTCATTCAGAATCCCTCATTAGTCCCACTGAACTATGCTTCCTCAAAGAAGGATTTGAGCTTAGCTTATGCTGAGGTTGGCATGAGAAGACTGGAGAAAAGGCTATTTAATAGTGAATATGTAATAATAGTGAAGGTAGGTGCTCAAGAGGTCTGTACCAATGTGATGATAGTGGCATAGAAGAAACTTATACTGCACTTTGGTTTCTAACTCCTGAACATTTATGTGGAAGCAAAAACAAAAACAGAACAACAACAACAAAAACCTGTAAGGGCTGATAATCTTAGCACCTAGAGCAGTGCTTTGGGAACTTAATAAAGCCTTCATGAATGAATGGACGAATAAACGTTCCCTATATATGTAATATAAAGATAATCTATAGCAGTCAGGTCGGCTTTTAAGTACTTTTTTTAAACATTCAGAAACTGGATGGATATCTTGGCAAAAAAACAAGAAAATCAACAATGATGTTACATTATTTCTCTTTTGTTATCATTTTTCTTACATTGAATATTAAGGTCTGTCACAGTTTTTCATTAAATTTGTTGGGTAAAGGAAGTCATCTTGGATACCCAACTAATATGATATGAGTAAAGGAAAGAAGTAAAGTACAAAGAGTGGAAGATTGAATGGTATAGAAAGGACAATTTGGGACTCATGAAGCTTTGATTTCTCAAAACAGATGTCCTCATGATTGAAGTTTTTCTGGTTTCCACTTAACCAGATGGGATACCAATCTCCCAGTTGCGTTCAGAACTGGCAGGGCTCATTAAGTTGGCTTTAAATTGAGCATTAAGGGAGGATTTTTTGCTTAGTCCAAATAATCTCAACATGCAAAATAAGAGAGAAGAGGGAGTTAGCTCTATGAGAGATGAAATATAAGATAAGGGATATTAACATACTGGACTTAATTGTCTATAAGTAACTACAAAGTAAATGGGAAATTAGGAAGATTAGCTGGAAATGTTTCTAAATTACGAATAATATGACCTATTGGCCCAATGGAAACAGGATGAAATCATTCTCTTCATCGGCGTGTCAACACTGGCAGGTGGAATATATGCTACAGTGAAGAATAAGAGGAAATGAAGCGTGAAGAGGAAGTAACTTGTGCAAAATCCAAAGTACAGCAAATAAGTATAATTGCTATTTGATAAAGAAAAGCAATTCTTTTATCAACAGATACAAGAGATAGGAAATATCAATCATGGCTGATTCATTTTATCAGCTGATATCTTAGAAGGTTTAATCCAGTGATCATTTTTCAAATTGCTTAATCAC